AGAAAATGGTCCTCATTGAGAAAACATGGAAAAATAATTATAAGCAGAAAATGGCCACTCTTGGCTTCTGTACTAATGCACTGAAAGACTTCAACAGACAGCATGAGTCACATATTGCCATGTTGCTCTCTTAATACTTATTGACATTCCACAAATGTATTTGGGTTCATATATTGCCAATATACGTATTGTCACTACTGCATACTGTAGTTTGTTTTAATACAATATTCTTACCAAAATAACTGTCAGGTTCTGTAACCAACGGCTGATATGATCCAGTGTTTGAAACTGAGTATTTCTTGAAGCCTCCCCTCCACTGGTTAGCACCAACGATAGCCATCTGAATTCCCTGTAATGCAGAAATGAAAGTCTAAACCCACCATAACTTCATATGGGATTTGCTTTTAATTGTGTGAGACTTTATTTAGTTCTCAATTATTAACCAGAATTTAACTTATTCATTGTATTTTTACCCCAGGTACATAAGCAGCTCTGAACCCCTCTTGAGACATTTCCAGTTTCAGGGTCTCGCCATCAGTTTGAGATCCTGTGRCATCAAAGGAAACAAGTTTCTTAGATTTCTTTGAAAGTGTTTCTGACACAAGTTAAATAGTTTGAAAAAAAAACCTCACCTATTTAAAAGCCTATGTTTTAATTACAACAGYACTTAAATTTGAAGTCTTTATGGTTCAGACTCATTAATGCCCATCGTTTAGCTTGATGAAACAAGAKGTAAAAACATTTCACTAAGCTGGAAATAGACACAGAGGAGTTTTGTGACATAACATACCTTCAATAGAAAAAATGTTGTTCTGTAAATTCTCTCTGATTTTGTCAAGCACGTTGAAGCTTCCCACTTGAAACAGGAAGTTTTCAGAGGGAACAGATGCAATCAGTTTGAGCTCATTTAGTGCAAAAGAATAAGAAAATGCATCCCCCACCTAGAGAAATGGACAAAATGTTAGGAATGATTTAGCAAACTTTGGTACCTGAATAAGAAGCAGTATTGCCATTTGTCTAAATAAATAAATAGTTTATTTTAAGTTTTGTTTTTCTACAGGTTGGTACAAGCCATGCATATATATATATATATAGTTTTAAATATTATACTGTAGATGAATATGTCATTAGTAAATCTTACCCCAATAGCAAATCGAACAACATTTCTAGCATTGGCTAAYTGTATTGATGATTCTAAATTATTGTGGTCACTAGAATATCCATCTGTAATTACTATTAAAATCTTCTTCACGTTTGACCTGGACCCTCCATTTGGTGAGAAGACATCATTCCTGTCAAAAGAAAGATTTGAACTTTTATTTGTTTTGTATGTTTTTTACTTTGAAATGCAATTTAATTTGTGTGCTAACAAAACACTAATGGCTTTGATATATCTGCAATGCCTTAACTCTCAATGTACTGCTCGTCGAACATTTCCAGTTTGTGGTTATCTCCTGCCTGACCCACACCACCATGTACTTTTAATTTAAGCTGTTCAAACAATTCCATTTGTTTTCGACTGATGCCTCTCTTGACCAAGTGGGTTCCTCTATAGACTCTCCAGAGCTCAAAATGTGTGGCTAGCCCCTAATGTCCCACCTGTCTGTGGTACATGTGATTGATTGACTAGAATAGGCYAATCAGTCCTGAGCTTCAGTCTGACACCACAGATGTGTAGCCAATAATGTTACRTTTTATTTGATATGCAGCTTTGCCACAGTTGCCCTGAAGTGGGGGAGGCTTTTATTTTATTTAAAAAACACTTAAATTGACTCTTAGAATATTTAAAAAAATTATAAAAATGTACAAATGTGTCTACGTGACAATGAATTGGTTGTAACAACAAAGTTTGCCACTAGATGGCGTTTCCGACACAGACACCACCTTGTGCACATGCCTTCTCTACCAGTGAGGAAGACGTTTAGTCATGGGTAAGAACGAGAAAAGAAAACTGGACAGATACAACTGCATGTTTCATGTGAAACAGGAGGTAGTCTATCTGTTCACAAAATTTCAAGGCAAATCTTTTAGTCTGTTTAGAGATGCTGTCTGCCAAGAAGGATTTTAAAATAAGTCACAACTACAGGTTGCACAAGGCCAAATATAAGAAGTTTATAGAAGTCACAAGTACATAAACAGTGTTTATGTGCTTTTTAAAAACAGTGTTTTAAACAGCGAGTGTTTATTTTTTGTTTTCTTCAAATGTATTTACAGTACAGACCAAAAAGCTTGGACACATCTTCCCATTCGAAAAGTTTTCTTGGTAGATTCACACTGAAGGCATCAAAACTATGAATTAACACGTGGAATTATATACTTAACAAAGTGTGAAACAACTGAAAATATGTCTTATATTCTAGGTTCTAAGTAACCACCTTTTGCTTTGATTACTGCTTCGCACACTCTTGGCATTCTCTTGATGAGCTTCAAGAGGTAGTCACCTGAAATGGTTTTCTAAAAGTCTTGAAGGACTTCCCAGAGATGCTTAGCACTTGTTGGCCCTTTTGCATTCACTCTGCGGTCCAGCTCACCCCGAACCATCTGGATTGGGTTCAGGTCCGGTGACTGAAGGCCAAGTCATCTGGTGCAGCACCCCATCACTCTCCTTCTTGGTCAAATAGGCCTTACACAGCCTGGAGG